TTTAGATATGGTTAGTGACTATTATTTAATGTTTAGTCACGGGAATTTCCTAACTTTTTCTACTTTACTCTTTACTCTGAATGCCTTGCTATTGTACTGTATTTGCATTCCAAGTTCTGTGCGCGCTTGAACATGTGATGACGTTTGTCACGTGGGCGTTGGTCACAGGTAAACAGGAAAAGACTTTTAGTTTGCCATAAAAGGAACCGGAAAACTAATGTTCAGGAGAAGCGTCTTCTCATTCACAAAACCGGCCGGTGTTTATGTGGATTTTCCCGGGTTCGATGGTCTTAGAAGCGCCGACTCGCCGTTCCTCAGTGGAGAACTTCTATTGGCTCGTTGCCAGGATTACTTTTCGAGGACTTAAGCCTGTCATCCCCGTTTTTGATCACGCTCACGGTGTTGACATTCCTTCTGGTGAGGCTGATCTTAACACACACTCACACACACACACGCGGGACTATAGACATTGCCTTTGGACTTATGCACACACACTTACTCTCATACAACGGGCTTTATATTGTTGTGGTGTATTATTGTTTGTGTGTATGTTTTGTGTGAAATACACGGAAGGAGATTTTGAACTTGCAGTATGTTCCATGAACTCTGTTTTCAACCATCTTAAAAAAAAGGAAATTAGAATAGACGTTCTTATTTAATTTGTAACTCGGCTGTACAACGATCAGTTTGTTACATAGTGGTGGCCCGTACGGGGACGTTCTGTTTTTTTTTTTTTTTTGAAATTGTTTCTTTGTTGTTCCTGGTTATGGATGAAGAGATAAATGTAAATGATGGAATGAAATCTCAGAATGGAAATGCTAATGAAAATATACAAGTTGTAAATACCATTAACTCTGATGCTGGTGCTCCAGACTCAAGAATGAGTTTGGGTGTAACATCAGCTGCAGATTTCACTGCTGGTCCGTTTGTAACTAGACGTAATCCTACCGGTGAAATAACATCTATGCTTAGCTCCTTGTATATTTCTGATGATGAGGAAAAATCTGATGATGAGGATGATGATGATGAGGAAAGCAGTGTATTGAATGTGAATGTGTTACAAACAATGCAAACTGAAGTTGATAAACTTAAAGTGGATTTATTGGCTCTTAGTGCTAGAGTACAAACAAATGAAAATGATTGTAAGCAGTCAGTGGACAGTTCGATTAATAGAGAAACTAGTTTTCGTGAGGCAGTGGACGCTGGCTTGGCAGATTTGGAAGAATTTTTCCGCAAATCACAGGAAAAGTTGGAGAGAGCGGTGTTTGATTGTTTTCTCAGAAGAGATGCAAAATGGGAGAATCAATTGAAAAAGCTGCGAATTTCCAGTACACCTTCCCTATTCCCCAACTACTCCCATATCTTCGATTCATGATTATAGAAAGACCACGTTTACATCTAGTGTTAACTTTCCCACTGCCCAGACAGGCAATGCTACTTATGATGTAACCTCTGTAAATAATCCTGTATCTAATGTGCCTACCCCTCCAGTGGTTCCCAGTATCTCATCTTTCAGCGGCCGGCCCCCAATTCGGTTGGAGTTTCCGACGTTTGGCGAGTCTTCTGAGACTTCGGACGTGCTCAACTTTATTGAACAGTGTGAGAACTATCTTAACATCAGACCCCTTCCAAGTGTGGAGCTGGTCGGCACCCTGAGCACGGTTCTTAAAGATGAACTGAACTGAAAAAAATCGACGATGAAAACGTGTTGTTTATGACAATTAAAAGTAAATTACACTAAACATTTTAATAAAAAATATTAATATAGCTTTTTATAAGCAACGCAAAATTGCGGTTGTTAGCGCTGGCAATTTTGATGACGTCACTGGCATGGTAGGACCCGCGGAGCTCTATAAACAACAGCTGCAGGTCCCATATACACAGACGAAAATGAACACTTTTAACGGCATGGATTACGCATTTGAGCCCGCGAGGGACAGGCCGGTAGTGTCTGACTACCACCACATGGAGGACGATCAGTTTTAGGCTTCACTTACAGTACAGGATCGTTTGGGGAGAAGTGACTGTGGGCGCGAGCGCTGTGGAGTATGCATACTGCACAGGAGTCGATCTTTTGCAGAGAGGTCAACCTGGAACATTTATTGATCGGCGAAAAAAGGAATCACCGTCGTGCACCGTTCATTTCGGATGCTGTTCGGTGAGAGAAACGTGTTGGAGGAGGCTATGCTGTCTCTAATGGATGTCCGAGCTGAGACGCGAGCGCCCCATCAGTAGCAGAGTATTTTACGAATAGGCGGCTAGGCTGGGCTAACTTGTTATACTTTTCTCAGACTGTTTAGATTAACAGCGTACTGGCAGTTCATTCTATGTGCGAGGGTGCATTTAGAAAGGAGAATCCCATCCTTTACCGTGAACTATACATCAGGAATCTTTTCCCCTCAGCCGAATATCAAGGATTCGTGTAACGTTAACGTGATGTGTTGAACTTGTAACTTGTGTAGCTAAATAAAACATTTAATGCAGACATTGTCAGACGTTTCATGTACTCATTGACGAAAGTACATATCTCTAGATAGTGTGTCGCTAAAAATTCTGTTTCTTCAGCCATGTCAGCGCGCCTCAGACTGTTTACAAGCTACGGCTGTTCTGCTGGTGCGGGTAGGCAGCGGAGTGGCTTACCATGCCAGTGACGTAGTCGAATGTTGAAATCCAACATGGCGGCGCCCGTGTAACAAAAACAACACTTTCAATGTACCATTTTATCCCTTTTAACAAATTCTGCCATTTTAAAAATTGTACCAATGATAATTAATACAATACATCTGTTATGTCACCTTTTTTCAAATTTCAGTTCAGTTCATCTTTAAAGGACCTGCCCTGAGTTGGTGGAAGGCTGAGAGGAACAAGGTGACTGATTGGCAATCGTTCAAAGAGGCATTTATGGATGCGTTTCTTCCAGATGATTACCTCGCTGAGGTGGAGGATAAGCTGCGGTCTCTGGTGCAGCTGCCGCGTCAACGCCTAAGAGATTTCGCTTATGATTACAGAGCCCTCTGTCTTATGTGGAAACCTGATATGGCTGAAGAAGAGATGGTGAGCCGCATCCTTAACAACACGAATCCCAGGGTGGCAGGCTGTTTGAGGGGAACGGTGAAAACAGTGGAACAACTGGTAAAAGTGGGTTCAATGGTGGAAAAAGACTGCATGGGAGTTAAGGATTACTGGCAGAAGGTGGATTGTCAGAATGGGAAGGAAAAGGCCAATAAAAGACCAAGTGAACGGAATAACTCTTAAAGTCTAGCAGGATTATCCATTGCGCAACCACACCCTATAAGTTCCCTGTTAGTAGTCCCGGTAACAATAAAAGGGAAAGAGGTGAAGGCTGTACTAGATACTGGGAGCACTTACACCCTAATGCAAGAAAGTCTGTGGAAACAGTTAGGGGGTGAACCAAGTGCTAACCCTCTGGTACCTCTTCAGCAGTTCATTATGGCAGACGGGAAGATACATCAAGCATTCAATAAGAAAACCATCTGTTACAATTGGCATGAGAAAGTATGTGGGGTGGATACACATATCATGAAGGATGCTCATTTGGCATTTCCCCTGATAGCAGGCTTGGATTTCCTCAGAGCCACTGAAGCTGTAGTGGATGTAGGCCAAGGGAGATATGGTCTGAAAGTGGGCAAGGGGTATATGTATCATTCTTTTATAACGACTACCATAAATCCTGGAGGTGTTACAATACCAGTAGGAGAGAGAAAACCCACTTCTGCGACCGTGAGTCTTTATTATGCCTTGCCTTCTACAGGACATCTCTCTCTTGCTTCGCCTGATGTGGAAGTTACTCCTAAATGGGACTCCGACAATCAGGAAGAGTTACTGAAGCTGATTGAGACCTGGCCTCACACCACTTCCCAGCTGCTCGGGAAAACATCGGTAGAACAACACAAGATCATACTATGTGATGAGCTGCCTGTTAGATCTAGGGCATACAGAGTGTCGCCTTTGAAAAAAAAAATAATTGATGAGCAAGTCAGTCTGATGCTAAGAGACCACATTATCGAGCCCTCCTGCTCCCCATGGTCGTCTCCCGTAGTCCTGGTCCCTAAACCGGATGGGTCCTACAGGTTCTGCATCGACTATAGGAAGTTGAATAGTAAGACCATACCTGACGCATATCCGATGCCTCTCATTCATGACATCCTTGAATCCGTGGAAGGCGCCTCATGGTTCACCACATTGGATTTGCGATCAGGATACTGGCAAGTGGAAATGGAGGAGGAAAGTAAGAATAAAACAGCCTTTATCACCACCCAGGGGCTGTTCCAATTCCGTTCTATGCCTTATGGACTCAGAAATGCTGCAGCCACTTTCCAGAGGCTGATGGAGAAAGTCTTAGGAGAATTGAGAGGGCAGTTTTGCTTTGTATATATTGATGACATTATAATATATTCCCGGACAATAAAAGAGCATGTACAACACCTGAATGCCGTTCTACACAGACTTCATCAGGCTTCACTTACTCTCAACATGAAGAAGTGCCACTTCTTTAAACGACAGTTAAAATTCCTGGGACACATCGTGTCGGAGAAAGGGGTGGAAGTAGATCCTGAAAAGACCCTGGCGGTGTCAGATTATCCCATGCCCAAAGATCTTAAAGCCCTCCAACGCTTCTTGGGATTAGCTGGATGGTATCACAAATTCATTCCACGCTTCGCTGACATCACTGCGCCCCTGAACCATCTAAAGAAGAAAGGAGTAAAATGGGACTGGACTCCAGAATGCCAAACCAGTCTGCAGACTATCAAACGGAAATTGCAAGACCCACCTGTCCTAATGCAGCCGGACCTCAATCTACCATTCCAGGTTCACACGGACGCCAGCGATGTGGGCCTAGGAGCTATTCTCTCCCAGCTTACCTCTGAAGGGGAGAGAGTAATAGCCTATGCCTCAAGAACCTTGAGAGGACCAGAGGTAAACTATTCTACCTCGGAAAAAGAGTGTCTAGCGGTGGTCTGGGCAGTGGAAAAATGGAGACATTACCTGGAAGGAAGGCCATTTGACATTTACAGTGACCATGCTGCTTTAACGTGGGCCTTTAATTGTCCAAAGACATCTTCTCGGTTAACTCGATGGACTCTGAGATTGCAGCAATTTACATTCCAAGTGCATCATCGGAAAGGATGTCTTAATTTGGGACCAGATGCCTTGTCTCGAGCTTATGGGCCGTTGGAAAGAGACAGTGCACACTGTATGACTATAACCCCTCCCAGATATGTATCCGACATACCTCACACTCTAGGAGAAATCTCGCAGGCCCAAAGCCGAGACAGTAATATTGCTCTCCTGCTGGGGAATCCCCAGACTAGTAAGAGGCAAGATCAAAGGATTACCTTCGTAGAACACCAGGGGGTGGTATATCGGCGCATACCAATCAAGAATGATGGAGAGCGGTTCCAGTTGGTTGTGCCGCAGGAGCTGATACCAAGTTTCTTACATTACTTCCACGATAACCCGCTGGGAGGACATCTAGGCCGACTAAAAACCTTGCTGCGACTTTTAGAAGTAGCGTGGTGGTCGTCCGTCCGTAAGGATGTTTGGCAGTATGTCAAAGGATGTGAAATATGTCAAAAATATAAACATGAAAATACTAGACCAAGTGGCTTCCTACAGCATACCCAGGTTAATGAACCAGGACACACTTTGGGGATGGATTTCATGGGTCCATTTCCTTTGAGTAAGAAACGAAACGCATACCTTCTAGTGATTGTTGACTATTTCACAAATTGGGTGGAGTTGTTCCCCCTGCGAGATAGCAAGACGCTGAAAGTAGTTAAAATACTCAGAGAAGAAATATTTACCCGATGGGGGGTGCCTAAATACCTGGTGTCAGACCGAGGAGCACAATTTACATCCAAGGTGCTAGCGGAACTATGTCGGTCTTGGGGAAGCATCCAGAAACTCACTACCAGCTATCATCCGCAAACTAACCTGACTGAAAGAGTCAACAGGACAGTAAAGACCATGATTGCGTCCTATGTAGGACAATATCATCAGACGTGGGATCAGTGGTTACCGGAGCTAAGGTTCGCCATCAATACAGCTCACCAAGAGACCACCGGTAGAGCTCCGGCGGAGTTAATGTTGGGTCGTCAGCTTAATGGACCTCTGGAGAGGTTGATCCTTAGACCCCCCACGCCTGACCAAGTTTCCTATACTCTAGTCGAACGTCAAAACAAGATGGCAGAGGAGGTAAAACTCCGAGTTGGGGTACAACAAACCAGACAAGCTAGATATTATAATGCCCGACGGAAGGATGCGCAATTCAAGCCGGGAGATCTAGTCTGGATTAGGACTCACCCTCTCTCGTTTGCCGCCACTAAATTCGCTGCCAAGCTAGCGCCCAAGTGGGAGGGTCCAGCTGAGATTTTAAAAAGGATGGGGCCAATAAATTACACAGTGAGTTGGGGCAGTCCACTTAAAACAGATGTTATAAATGTGGTTAATCTAAAGCGCTGGTACGGACAATCTCCACCTATGCCGAAGGCTGGGGGGGGGGGGGGGAATCTATGTAGCGTGGCCACATAGGAGGAAAGTTTAGATATGGTTAGTGACTATTATTTAATGTTTAGTCACGGGAATTTCCTAACTTTTTCTACTTTACTCTTTACTCTGAATGCCTTGCTATTGTACTGTATTTGCATCCCAAGTTCTGTGCGCGCTTGAACATGTGATGACGTTTGTCACGTGGGCGTTGGTCACAGGTAAACAGGAAAAGACTTTTAGTTTGCCATAAAAGGAACCGGAAAACTAATGTTCAGGAGAAGCGTCTTCTCATTCACAAAACCGGCCGGTGTTTATGTGGATTTTCCCGGGTTCGATGGTCTTAGAAGCGCCGACTCGCCGTTCCTCAGTGGAGAACTTCTATTGGCTCGTTGCCAGGATTACTTTTCGAGGACTTAAGCCTGTCATCCCCGTTTTTGATCACGCTCACGGTGTTGATATTCCTTCTGGTGAGGCTGATCTTAACACACACTCACACACACACACGCGGGACTATAGACATTGCCTTTGGACTTATGCACACACACTTACTCTCATACAACAGGCTTTATATTGTTGTGGTGTATTATTGTTTGTGTGTATGTTTTGTGTGAAATACACGGAAGGAGATTTTGAACTTGCAGTATGTTCCATGAACTCTGTTTTCAACCATCTTAAAAAAAGGAAATTAGAATAGACGTTCTTATTTAATTTGTAACTCGGCTGTACAACGATCAGTTTGTTACAATAGGAAACAGTACTCGTTCTCCAATGCCATAAGAGACTTTACAAACAATTTTTCCGCATGCTCCTCAGCACGCGGAACCGGAAAAGCAAGGAAGAAGCTTCATGACGCAATTCCCTGCAATGCAGGTATATATGCTCCGCCTTTAGCCATGATAGGCTTAATACAGTTTTTCTCAATTGTTTACACACATTTTCTGGTACTTGAGACACAATGACCACAACATGTAACTCATTCACCAACCCCCTGAACCAGTTCTGCTGAACTACAAGCACAATTCCTGCTTTACACTCAAATCGCAGTTCTAAAACAACACTTTTTTCAAAACACTACACACAAATTCTCTGCATTTGGCACAATTTTCATGCAGAAAATCTCTTGTTTTCATGAGGAACACACTGCCATTCAGATATTCACACTGACTCGTCACACGGGCAAACACATTTCACACAGTTTTACAATTAGCGATCAGAGCTTTAGCATAAAATAACCAAAACCAAAGAGAGGATGCAGCATAGATATTTTTTTTTTCTTTTTTTTTTTACTGTAACAGCATAACAAATTCTGTTGTTTTGTATGTAGGCCACTGTATGTGCAACTTTGTGTTGGTTGGGGTGTATGAAATGTGGGATCTATCTCCTATTGATTTTGTGGGAAAAATAAAATATATTTGTTACCATGTATTTGTGTGTTCTGGGTATAAAAACAATATTCTCAAATATTTTACAACACACTTATGTATGTAATGTCTGTAGTAAGTGTAACACTGAACAAAAAAGGCCTAAGTCATTATGATGAATGGAGAAGAAGTGTTTTCCATTGATCATAGTGTTTTACATTGAGCACATCAGTGTTCAACTGGTTCTTATAAATGTCTATTCATATAATGGTTTGTGTGTGTCATTTGAAAACAAAATACCATTTTGAGAAGAAATAACATTGTTTTGAATGTAAAGTTTCATTTTGCAGGAGAATTGAGGGGTTTTGCCAATTGTGTGAGTGTTTTTAGATTTGTGTGTAGAGTTCTGAATGTATGAGGCGTTCTTTCAGAAAATATGTGTAAACAATCGAGAAAAACTGTAAACCACAGCATCAGACTGTGTCTGCTGAGGTTCATGTGGGGTTGAGTGTGTGTGTGTGTGTGTTCGCAGGCTGAATAAAGGTTTCAAACACATTGAGACACATTTGCACACAGTCTTTATTAAATGTCACTGATTATATATCCAGCATTGCATGCATGTTAATCCAGTAACAGGGCAACAGTGAAGTGGACAAAGATGGGAAGATCTGTATATAAATGTCAAATTTTCTTTTTTTAGCTCATAGGCTGAAGGCTAAACTAGACACAACCAACATTTACCAGGGGTCTTTTGGACCCAGGGGGTGTTGGTAGGCTTGGGAAAATTACAACTTTAGTTACGTTGTAATCTTTGGCCAGCTGATTCTGTAGGTCTTTAATTGATAATTGCTTCACTTTGTTGTTGTTATCAGGTCCAAAGTAGCCCTTCCCTGTGTACACACTGTTCTTCAGACAACAGGTGGCTCTCCAGTAATACATTGAGACAGGAACTTTATTATTCAGTTTTGGTTTGGTGAGATCAGGAACTACACCAGTCACCACATAAGCGTTACTACAGGACTCCAGATCTTTAATAACAACCTTCTCATGTTGGTTCCATTTACGCTGATTGAAACAAGAGTTCTGTGGAGCGGCGTTGGTCAGGGTGGAGGTGGCCAGCATGGAGAATTCATCATGTGTGTGCTGAACTGGGTACAGGTGACCTTTGTCATAGCAAATCTCCTCATTGCCTAACATATAAGACACCTCATAGTCACTCTTCACGGCCTGATTATTAATGGTTTTTAGTTGTTTAGGTGCCATACATTCTTCAGTATGTCCATCCAGCTAATTGACATGAGAGAAAGAGAGAAAACTCTAAATGTTTCCATCAAAATTCACATGAATTATTGTCATTTTAAATAAATATAATGGTCCCACTTTAATTAAGGTGTCTTTAACTACTATGTTATAACATTTTAATAAATTTTATACTCTTTAAACATGATCTGCATGTAATTACATCTATAATGACCCCTTTAACCAGTAAACTTGTGCTAATCTTACCCGTATCCTCCTCAATATCAGCACATGATTTACAGTAGCCAACACTAAGCTTATATTGTACTTATTTTTTTTTTTAAGTAAATGCATAGTAGTTTAAGGACACCTATTATAAAGCGTCAAGTCAAGTATACTTATATAGCGCTTTTCCCAATATAGATTGCATCGAAGCAGCTTCACAGTATCAATCAAAACATAATAACAATGTTTGTTTCTTAGTGGAAAAACATCTACGTTTGGTAAAGCTGATCAAGGGTGTTATTACAATATACTACAATAATATACAGTTGAACAATTACCTGAGGTTCGATGTACCAACGATCAACCCTAGCGACACTTGCATACCCATGAAACACATACGCTGAGTAGATGGGGATCTTCCAATCTGTGTTGTACAAAGTTGCATAATGATACGTTATCTTTTTCTTGTCGTGCCGAACACACTGGCAGATCTTCTCGACTGTGGTGCCCCATTGTGGTGTGAATTCCGGAGGGTCTTTATTCAAAAAGAACTCTGTGCAATTTCCAAACCCTGGCGAAACTTTACCCAGAGAGAGGCAAGGCAACAGAAGAAACACAAGCAGCTTCATGATGGAGCTCAGACTGAGAGAACAGACACTGAACCTGGAGAATAGAGATGTGCTCTGTCTTTTATAGAATTTAATACACAAAGGGGAGGAGATAGAAACACACGTTTGTAGGTTTCATTATAAAATAAAGGTTAGAGTTTAACATTGTACTGCTGATGAACATATTTTCAGCACATTAAAGGCTTTATTGTTGTTTCCCTTACAAAAATTACTGCAGTTTGTGTTACATGTAGAAAAATGCAGTTTTTGAACATGAAAAAACTGCAATATTGCAGTATAGCTGGAGTTTCAAGGGAACTTCGAGCTGCGTCGAACGCTGTGGGAACGCCCCTGTGTTGTGCGTCATGGAGCACGTATGGAATCAGCCCAATGGAGAGACGGGTGACGTCATCGACCAGAAGACTATAAAGCACCCCAAAAACACAAGCGTATTGTAATGGCTAATTTTGCATTTACATTTATACAAGTTTCTTTTCTTTCATATATGATCTTTATTTTCTTTTATATGTTTTCTTTTATTTCATTAAGATGTGATAGATGTGTGTGTAACTTTTACTAACGTTGGAGAACATATACTCATAAGCATTTAAAGGAAGATGTTCATGTAATCCAAAGGACATTGTTAAAGATATAACAAACTGTTAGAAATGCATAAGTAATGTAAGCTTATTGTGAGGACATAATGTTCTGTGTTTAACAAAGAAGCAAGCAGCATGGAAACATTTTAATAGCTCATTGTATCTCAAGTGTGAGTTATATTTGTGCAGGGTTTTGAGCAAACAAAAGATAAACCAGAACTTGCACCCAAGAGATAAATTGAGGAGAAAGATGTGAGGTCGAACATAACTTGTAACCAAGAGATAAATTGAGGTGTGAAGCTGTATTTGAACATAGGAAACTTAACACAAACGTCATTGTGCTGTCCAAATTAAAAATACGGTCTACAAGAATAGTCAAGGGCAGCGCAAACAGGTTTCCTTGCTAGAGGGTGTAGGAGACAATCCGTAGCAAAACCAGACCTAGCCTGCATGGGTTTCCTGGGTTTTCAGGTATATAAGGATGATGAGAAGGACTAGCCTTCGCCTTCACATGTAGACACTGTTCTGTATGTTGAACGCCAACGATTGGACTTGTTTTCTTGCAAGAAAATAAACTTTTGATACTTTGACTTTTGAAAAGGTTTCCACTTGTCTTCTTCCTCCTATCTTTTCGAATAACAGAGAATCATTTCCACAACAAACGGCGACGGGGAGGATGGGATGCTGAACCAAGGAGCGGCGTGAGGAGCGAACAATTGGCTGATCACCCCCAGAACAGTATACTCTGCGGCTCGAATCCTCAAGCTTAAGGAGAGAGAATTGTTTCGCTCATCACGACGACCGAGGTGACGCACTCCCAGAAGCGAACTCACAAGGTCATCAAGAGACGGTGAGAAAAATTATTTACGTGGTAAATAAGAGAATTATTTGCGTATTGAATACTTTTCCTAAAAGGGTCAGAGGTTTGGAATAAACCTGAAAGTAAAGTTTCAAAGAGTTTGAGAATAGGCCTGATAGTAATTTTCTCAAATAGCAGGTATTAATTGTTTTCCCAAAAGGGCCAGAGTTTGAGAAAAAGACTGAGAGTGATTTCTCAAACACCAGATGGGGCCTGTTTGAAATAAGCCTGATAGTAATTTTTCAAACAGCAAAAGGCACTCATTTGGGAAAGACCTTCGTCGACGGATGGAGGCAATTTGAAAGTCCTTTATTGACGAATAAAGGCAGGCGTGGTGGCCACGTTGGGGGAAAGAATTAATACAGTAGATAAGAGAGCGTGGTGACCACGTGAGGAAAAGATTTAAATACGCAAATACAAATATTGTGGAGCAAATTACACAAGGAAAATGGGTAATAAAAATTCGAAAAGAGAGGAGGAACGGGTTGATATTTCTAAACGAATTGATTTTTCTAAGAGCTCGTATGTAGCCATGGATAAAATAATGGGAACCTTGTATCATGAGTATGTGCCGTACTTAGCACACCATTATGGGTTTAATGGAGGGTTTAGTGTGTCACATCTGACTCAAACCAAAGTACATTGGGCGACTCATAAGGTCAAAAATAAAGACAAAGAGTTTTACAATAAGTGTGGTGAGATCATAGGGAAATGGTTAGAAGAGGCAATGCGCAGACAGCAAAAACAAGGCTCTCGTGCCATCGCACCATCAAATTCTGATAAAGAAAGAGAGGAGGCATTAAAGAAAGCATTACAGGATGTTAAAACTGACTGTTCTACCTTTAAAAATGACTGTTCTAACATTCCTGACGGTTTTTCTCCTTTCTTTGGTCAATTTATGAAAATGATGATGGATGACGGGGGTTATCCGGCTCGACGCCCACCCGCTCTCAATCCTGGTCTAAGTGGAGCTGCTGCGGGAGAATCACCAGCCAGTTCGCCGTCACAAGCGCCATCGCAAGCCAGCGCGCCGTCTGAAGTACAAGCCAGCGCACCAGCTGCCCAACCGCCCAGTTATACTCCGAGGGAGGACAGCGAAGAGGCGGCATCTTCAACTCGCTCTGGGACAGTATATAATGACGAGGGGCGAAAGGAATGCAGCAAAATTCTAGAGGAACTGCTGAACGAAAACCTGAAAAACTTAACTTTGAACACACGGAGAAAGGCGAACCAACAGCAAGCGCCAGACTGAAGATTCAGAGCCTGAAATAAAGACTGAGAGCAGCGACGAGGACGACGAAGGTCCTTCTGAAGCTATTCAAGCACCAATGGTTGAAGTAGCAGGGCCAGAGGGAACAGTTCTGGTAATGAGACCATGGACCGAAGAGGACATGAGACAAGCCTCTGCTCACCTGCCAAACATCGAGTTAGGCGGGGCCAAGCTGGGTGCTGAACTAGCTGCATTCTGCAGAGAATTCAGGCCGAGTCTCAATGAACTGAGGAGACTGATGATTTTGAAATATGGCCTAGTGCAAATGACCAGACTGTTGGAAAAGTGGCCAGAAGACGCACGTCTGAAACACACCACTATCAGCAAAACCAAAGAGGTGGTGGAGGAAGAGGCAAATGGCGTGGTCGTGGCAACGGTGGACATTTCGCACAGAATCAACAACGTCCAGGTCGAGACACTTGTTTCATTTGTGGACAGAAAGGACATTGGCTTGATTCGTGCCCGCAGGCAGGCAAGACCACGAGTCAGGCGGATTGAGAGGGGGAGGGTGCGAGCAACGGGTCTCCGACGGTCTCCACATCAGATGAGTATACTTTTTCTTCTTCTCCTTCTGACTCTGCTCTTTGCAATGAAGACAAGCTTGCTGATATTTTCTATAAGGCTCATAAATCTTTACCTCTGATAGAAGTAAACGTTCTTGACAAGACAATGTTGTTTCTAATTGATACCGGAGCCACATTTTCACTAATAAAAGAGACAGAGTTTAAACAACCAGTTTCACTTTCTGGAAAGACAACTCTTTCCAGGAGTGCATCTGGTCATGTGGTTGCAGAAGCATTCACAACGCCGCTTGAGTGTTCTATTGATGGGAGAAAATTTGAACATAGTTTTTTGATTACGCAGACATGTCCAGTTAATTTAATGGGTCGAGATTTACTTTGTAAATTGGGTGTTTTCTATTCACTGTACTGCTGAAGGGATTTCTGCTGACATGAGAATGATGTATGAAACAACAGGGGAAAACCCTTTGTTTGTGTATGAATGGCAAGTTTCTAACACGTGTCTGACCACAAAGGCTCATGACAGAGTGCTGCCATCGTCTGAATTTA